ATTGTGACTTTTGACCGTTTTTCACAATTATAACTGTTGCAGCATCCCTGTGGTCAGGTGATCAAAATTCAGATGCTTAACAATTGACTCATATTTATGACAGTTGCAGTGTCTCGGGGTCATCGATCACCTTTTGCAACCTTCTGATAAGCAAAGTCAGTGGAAAAACCAGATTCACTTAACAGCCGCATCACTAACTTAACTATAGTGATTCACCTAATGACCATGTCAAGAAATGTTGTAAAATGGGGCAAAATTCACTTAACAAATGTCTCACTTAGCAACAGAAAATGTTGGCTCAATTGTGGTTATAAGTCGAGGACTACCGTGGTTATACAATCAATCTAACTGAATTAATGAATCAACAAATAGTCATATTGTTGATAACTTAATGAATAAACATAGTTATATCACTTGCAGTATATCTCAAATGTCAAGATCTATTATAGAAACTAAAACAATGTAAGGAAAATCTGCTACTAAAGATGATTCTTGGCAGCTTCCAAAATAAATTAAGAATAAAATTCTATAAAAATATTTACTGTGCAGAGCACAGAGGTTCATAATGATGGCTCCTGTTAAGAGTTTTTTTTAAATCCAGTTAGAGCAATAAAAATAATGACTCTGTGATAAATACCTAGTGCTCACAAAGACATTTAGCAGGATATATGGTGCAGTCTTAACTGCTGTTTTGCTTCCTAAGCTTTCAATACTATGTAGTCTTCATACAATAAAAGTGAAGCAGCTCAATAAAATGGCCAACAGTCACAGCACCTGAAAGCAAGTCTGTGAAAACAGAATATATTTCAATTACACAACATACTTTAAATATGTCTGGAAGAAAGCAGTCTTATAATAGAAGCAAGCAAATGGAAACTTCACATTAAAACATTAAAAACAACAAAAACCTGGCACCAGGTCAAACTTCTAATGTGCAGTTATCCAATCTTATCCCAAGCTTGGGGGAAAAGCCAGGTTTTCAAAGTTTTCCAGAAGGCCAGGAGGATGGATGCCTGCCAAACATCAGGGGGCAGAGTGTGCCATAAAGTAGGGGCTGCCATGGAAAAGGCACACTTCCTAGTCCCATCAGATGACAATATTTGGGGGAAGGGTGTAGGACCATACCAACCTATCTGAGCTGATAGTATGGGTGGATGTCCTTAGGGGAAAAGCAGTCCTGCAGATAACCTGGATGTTCCCCCTAAACCTAAATATTCCCCCTATCCTAAATGTTCACTCTATCAAGGTACAATTCCATGCTACTTCTGATCCAGATCAGCTCTGTATTTTCACTATTTGATAATTTATTAACGACTGTTACTGGTTAAAGTTTGGCCTTTTGACAAGCTCGTAAGTGTCCCATTTGCTGAGAGATGCTACCAGCAATAGTAAATATGTTCAAGACCATCCAGGTAGTCTTCACTTATACATTAATTATGTGCAAAGCTACTTTGTCCCTTGAAGAAATAATGCCACTCCAAAGAAAAGAGGGTATAAAGATTTTGTCAACTGCCATAATAAAAGGATCTTCTGCAAAGTATGAAGGAGAGAGAATGTGCACAATATGAAATTAAACATCATTTCCCCCTCAAAGTAGTTTTTTTTCTAAAAGAAAAAGGAAAAGTGGCAGGCTTTATTAAGCACACTGATGGGAAACATTTAATTAAAGCAAAGCAATGCATATGAACCTACCAGATAGACATATTTGAAAGACAATAAAAAATTTAATATATTTATGCATCTAATTATACATTATTTTAATGTTGTAAGTTGCCCAGAGTCGCCTTTTGGAGATGGACGGCAAACAAATTTAATAAAATAATAACAGCACAGTCATGTCAGAAGCATCGAGGAGTTTCTGGATTGAAAGGATTAGCCGGTGACACTACTGTTGCCCAGGGGAAACCCAGTTGGGATCTCCTTTCACGTCCCTGGCACGAGCTAGAGCAGGGGTAGGCAACTTTGGCTCTTTTATGACTCATGGACTTCAAGTTGAAGTCCATAAGTCATAAAAGAACCAAGGTTGCCTACCCCTGAGCTAGAGCAAACGACAGGAGCTCACCCTGCCCAACGGGCCTCAACCATGGGCTTGCTACTTGTCAAGACAGTGTCCTAACCATGTGAGTCATCATGTAATATATATTAAGCAAACTCCACAAATTATGTAAAGTGAGGGGGAAAAGGGATGTTTTACACTGAAAAACTAGTGTTGCTTAATCTTGGCAATTTTAAGATGTGTGGATTTTAGTTTACAGAATTCCCCATCCACATGAAGAAATACCAGATTAGACCATAATCTTGTCTTTGCTAAAATGAAATATCCGATTTGTAAATTAAAGATTTTGATGCCCATAGCATACTAGGCAGTGTGACCAACTCCTTAAGGAGGCAATTATTTCAGAGTAAACAAAATTGCTTTAGACTTTGTGGCATCCAATGTAAGTGGAGGAAGCCATTAATTTATCAAGCCATGCTGTTTTAAGGATTGTCTCAATCAAAAGGAAACAAACTAGTCCAGACTGCATTCGTTTTTTTAATCAATCCCTTTCTTGCTCAGTGAGGTCTTAATGTTGCCTCCAAAGGGGAATATGAAATAATAAGAACATTTGTTTTGACAGTTACAACTGTTTCTTTAGATTCTAAAGAGAATACTTACTTGTAAAAGATTCTGATTTCTCATGCTGCCCTTCAGTGAAATGCCATCATAAAAAATGTAAATTGAATAAAGCTTTGTTAGCACTCTCTGCCTCCAGTATTCTACCAGTAGATATCACTGTTATCACTACAGACTATCAGAGAAGGTAACTTGTTTCCATTGGAGGCTATTAAAAAAAATCAAATTCATTCATCTCCCTAGATTGTATAAATTAAACCCTTCTGGACCATTATTTCTGTTTGGCTGTTAACCACAGACACATCACCTTATTTAATTATTTGTCATGTTTCCCTATTTAGTATATAGGAAAAATATTTTAAGTGATTAATTTCAACAGTTTGTTTTCAGGCATCTCTCATTCCAAAAGAAAAAAAAGGTAAAGGTTTCCCCTGTCCAGTCGTGTCCAACTCTAGAGACGTTTCATAACTCTCATCTCCCTTTCCTAGCTGGAGAAGCCAGCATTGTCTGAAGACACTTCTGTGATCATGTGGCTAACATGACTATATGATGAAGCGCACGGAACGCTGTTACCTTCCCATTGAAGTGGTACCTATTTATCTACTCCCATTAGCATACTTTCAAACTGCTAGGTTGGCAAGAGCTGGGGCAATGGGAGATCACCCCATCATTCACGTCTCAAGCCCAGGCTGTCAGCTTTCCAGATGACAAGCTCAGTGTCTTTAACTGCTGAGCCATCCTGTCCCCTTTCTCATTCCAAATATGGAAATAATTACTACATTACCAAATGTACATATCTGTTAACCTGACAAATGGAAAATTCTATTTTGAGGGTGGGATTGGAAAGTTTAATGCTTTGCTTTCATAAACTTCTCAATCTCAACCAACATGGGTAGAAGAATACATTACCTATTTGGAAGATTCAAGTACGACTGGGATGATTATTATTCCTCTGATTCCCCCACAAACTTTAGGACAATCATTTGATATCCCTTGCCATTTATTATGTACAATAATACTCTCTAAAGAAGATAGGAAAAGTGTTCAGGCTCTCCTGTGACCTTCATTCTCAGGATGAATTTTAAGGTCTTACTACTATAGTTCTAATCCAGCACTAAGAACAAAGATGCAGAACCAAGAAACACCTATACATGCTCATTCTACTTCCTTACCCAACTGCTCCTCTTGTTGAAAGTGTAGCAAACATATCCCTAGCATTATATACCTTAGATCCAGCTATTTTAAAGCTTTAATCCCAGCATCTGTTCAAGGAACTCATTTCTTGAACAATATAATAAAGGGCCAAAGTACTAGGAAACAAAAGGGTAAAACAAATACTCTTGGTAGAAAGATGTAAACCAAAATATGAAATATAAAATGTTCTCTAAGACTTTCATAACTGGATATTCTATTAACAGCTGGAATGCACCAGCTGGCATACCTCCTCTGATCTAATGTGACAAGCCTCCATTCCAGATTTTCAATAATTTCTTAAAGTCTAGTAGAATAGTGTCCATCTATATATTAAAATAGTCTCACATTTTCTCATTGTGTGAAAATACAAATGTTGAAGCTTTAAGAGTTGCATTCATTTTAATGAATGATTTCCAAACTGAATATGTTCATTTCTCTCTTATATCTAGGGAGTTGTTCTAGATAACAGACATGAAGAAGATAAACCATCTAATTTTCACACATGGACAAACTAAGGAATAAAGTGATGAGCACAGGATTCATGAGGCAAGACTTCTGCCAGACACCAAACTTAGAAACGGATAGTTCTTCAGAGAAGGCTGATTTCATGAATAAGTCTGTATCCCATTATAAAATAACTGAAAAAAAATTGGACAGGAAATGTATATTTCATCAGTTGTGGAAAAGTAAAATGTTCTTTTTGTTCAAACAGATCCTAATCCAGTCTCTAAGAGGCAACAAGAAAAATTCAACAAGGTTTCAGACAAATCAATTTTGGGTTGGGATGCATGCATGTGACAAAGCAACGCTATCTGTGGCTCCTTCTTATTAGCACAATTTCCCATATAGTGTATCTAGATTAGCTGTACATGTTACTATGACAGAAGGATGATATTGCTAACTATTAATTTTAGGAAGAATTCCTTATTGTTCTTTTTCCAATCATTGAAACAACCTTTGATATAGATAATGATTTTATTCCAGAATTTTGGACAAATACCTATCAGCGTTCTACTAGAAGCAGTGAGTGTTTAGTCCAAATCTTCAAAGAGAATCCTTGTTTTAAGCCTGATTTACTGTTTTTAATTTAAAACATTATTGAAAATGTTTTCATTAGGTACAGTAACTAATATAAAGACTCATGTGAAATGGATACACACACAAATACAGAAGACAAAAAGGTTTTACTTACTTCATAGTAACTTCGAACTGCATTGCAAAAAGCTTCGTCAGCCACAATCTGTGTCTCTCCATTTAGAAATGCCTGGAACCGCTCTTTCACCACTTGTAGTTGTTGTTTGTTCAGCTGAAGGAAGAAGAATACTGTTAGCAAATCCACACATTTCTCTTTATTCCAATATTTTCTTTCTTTCTTTCTTTCTTTCTTTCTTTCTTTCTTTCTTTCTTTCTTTCTTTCTTTCTTTCTTCTTTTTCTTAACTTATTTACTTACAAAAAGATAGGAGGGTTGGGAACAACCTCACATCAAGAGGCAGGATGTTCCAGAGGGCAGGAGCAACAGCAAAGAAGATCCTTCTCCCGGACCCCGCCAGCTGGAATAATTGGGCTAATGGGACCTGCAGCATGCCTCCTCTACCAGCATGAGTGGTATGAGCCAATCCCAGTAGGGTGAGATGGTCCCTCAAGTAACCTGGACCCAAGCCATGAAAGGCTTTAAAGATGATCACCAACACCTTAAATTGCACCCAGAAGCAGACTGGTAACCAACGCACCTCACGGAACAGTGGTGTTACTGGGGCAATTCTTGAAGGCCCCCCAAAACTACCTACACTGCTGCACTCTGAACTAGCTGTAACTTCTGAATGCTCTTCAAGGTTAGCCCCACATAGAGCACATTACAATAACCCAGTCATGAGATGACTAGGAACTGAACAACTGAGCACAGTGAATCCTGGTCCAGGAAAGGTAGCAATTGGCACACAACATGAAGTTGGGCAGAGGCTCTCCTAGCTGCGACTACCACCTATTCCTCAAACAAGAGTTGCAAGTCCAGGAGAACCACCCAAATTGCAGACTGGTCTTTCTGGGCAGTACCACCCCATCCAGAGTCAAAGATGACAAAGTCCTGGATCACAGAGTCCTGTGTACCCTAGTCATTCAGTCTTACCAGGGTTCAATCAAAGCCTATTGTCCCTCATCCAGGCTCCCACACTCTCCAGGCACTGCAAAAGGATAGCCACAGCATCATTTGAGTCATCAAGAGTGGAAATATAAAGTTGGGTGTCATCAGCATACAATATATACAGTATCTCAACCCGTGGTGATGGATAATCTCACACAGTGGTTTCATAAAGATGTTGAAAAGGAGTGGAGAAAGTACCAAGCCCTGTGATATACCACAAATAATGGCTGAGGGCTGAATCTCTCACTCCCTATCATTACCAATTGGGACTTCCACAGAGAAAGGAACTCAACCAGCGTACAACTGTGCCACCCATCCCTATCCCCTGGAGCTGGCCCAAAAGGATACCATGGTCCATGGTATCAAAATCCGCTGAGAGGTCAAGGAGAACGAGGATGGTTGCACTACCCTTATCTCGCTCTCACCAGAGTGTGACCAATGCTGTTTCCATCCCATAACCAGGCCTGAATCTAGACTGAAAAGGGTCCAGATAATCCGTCTCATCCATGATCCTCTGCAGCTGCCAGTCCACCATCTTTATAAAATTGCATTACATTTTCCTTCTTTCCAAGTTTGCTCTTTTATTGTTTGTTTAATGTTTATTTGTCAACGAAAATTACAAATTCAAACAAGCAAAATGAAAAAAATAGGGGATGACAGGGATGATAGATAAATTAGTGCATTTATGCATGCTCCCTTAAGAATCTCTTAAATACGGGGTGAGGTCTACAAAAGTTAAGTTAGAGTTAAAATTATGAAAGTTAGTAGCGGAAACAACTGAATCAGGTAGAATATTCCAAACTTTGACAACTCTTATTACAAAAATATATTTTTTTTACAATCAATCTTCATTCACATTACAAGTATTTTGCAATTTATGATTATTTGTTCAATGACCAAACTTATAATGGGCTGAATGAAAGGTCAGATATATGGCCATCCCAGCAACCCCATAGTCACATCATCAACATTTGGCTGCTTGGTAACTGGCTCACACTTATGACTGGTGGAAGCACCCACAACCATGTGATCACTATTTGTAACTTACCCTGCTGGCTTCCCTACAAAATCAATAGGAAAGCTGGCAGCGAAGGTTGCAAGTTGCTAGGGTAAGTCTCCAAAGCTAAGAAATGCGATTGTAAAGTACAATGGCATTGCTTAGCAATGGCAATCCCTATCGCCTTGGTTACTGCTGTTAACTGAATCCCATGGTTGTTAAGCAAGGAGAAGGGCACAAGGTGGTATCTGAAGATGTGAGGAAAGCACAGTGAGGGTTGGAGAAAGCTGCCCAGGGGTGCAGAAGGGTGTGAGGGACATGTGATGAGGTTTGGGCAGAGTACGTGGGGATACATGAATGGTTGGCACAGCGCAAAGAGATTAAGGGAGAGTGTTAAGGTGGGCAGATCTTCAAGGGCATATACAGCTAGAGAGCTACAAAGCAATATATCCTTTTTTTCCTTCTATGGTCCTCTTCCATGATCCCCACGTCTCTTCCAGAGAGACTTCGGACTCTTCAGAACAGATGTGGGGCACTAATGGCCTATAAAAAGAATAGATAACTTGATTTATCCATTTGATCTATATCAATGGCAGCAGGTCATCCAGACCTGAGAAACCATATAATTTTCCACCAAAATACAGATAAAAAATGTTTCTTCTTATAAATATTAGCTATTGACCAGCAACCGAGGTGGCGCAGCAGTTAGAGTGCAGTACTGCAGGCCACTTTAGCTGACTGTGTTCAGCAGGTCAGCGGTTCAAATCTCACTGGCTCAAGGTTGACTCAGCCTTCCATCCTTCCGGGGTAGGTAAAATGAGGACCCAGATTGTTGGGGGCAATGTAAATATATATATACATTGCTTACTGGTGTACACCGCTTAGAGAGTGCTTGCACTTAAAGCGGTATATAAGTCTCATAAATAAATAAATAAATAAATAAATAAATAAATAAATAAATAAACTAGAATTGTATTTCTGTTTAGACTAAATACTAAGATAGAAGAGTTTTTGCAGTGAAGGTATTGCTTTCTGTTCGGTAAAATGAGAACTACAGTTAAAATGTCATGATTATAATAAGGGTAAAGCACTGTACCATATTTTTTTACATTAATCCCTATTATAAACAAGAGAATGTACATTTTAATTGCTGCAATGGATGGGGCATTGTCTTACCTGAAAGTCTTTTCTCAGCACGGAGATGGAGAATCCATCAATGGGTTTAGACTGTATTTCTGCCCAATCAGATCAAGTCAGCCAAAGTTGCCATGCCCATGCTGGACCATAGAGATCCCAGTCTTGACGCGAGTGTAGCCATTGACTGACAGCAGGACGTTGTGGCTCACTAAACTAAGACTAACCCTAGGCCTAGATGACTTACAAGGGTGGGAGTGGATTCTCCATCTCCGTGCTGAGAAAAGGCATTCAGGTAAGACAATGCCCCTTCTCCAGCACTGGAGATGGAGAATCCACCAATGGGACACACCAAAGCCTACTGTCCCTGAGGGTGGGAAGTAGACCGGTCCGGTGTGGCACTTTGATGTACAACCTGTTGGAGAACCCCCCTACCGAAGGAAGCCTCCACCGAGGTTCATAGTGCCGTATAAAAGGAGATGGTGAAGACCATGTGACCGCTCTGCAGACGTCCTCAATGGACGACTGAGTAGCCTAGGCCGCAGAAGTAGCTGCACTCCATGTAGAGTGAGCTGTACCCCATCATGGAACCAGCAATGACTCAGCCTGATACGCCCTGGTAATGCACACCCTAATCCACCTGCCAGTTGTGGAAGAGGAAACCTTCCAACCCCTGGAGGAAGGATGGAAGGATACAAAGAGGGCCTCTGATTTGCGGAATGCCGCTGTCCGTGAAATATAGTACCGGAGCGCTCTGTGGACATCTAGACTATGCTATTGCCGTTCCAGAGCATATGATGGGTTAGGGCAAAAATCCAGGAGCACTATTTCCTGGGCTCTATAGAATAGTGAATTTACCTTTGGAAGGAAAGTAGGGTCGAGGCGAAGGACCACTCTATCCTGGTGGAAAATGCATAGGTCATCCCAGGTTGAGATTGCTGCCAATTTGGAAATACGTCATGCCGACGTGATTGCCATCAGGAATGCCACTTTGTGGGACAGGAAGTGAACGTCGCATGACTTTAGGGGCTCAAAGGGCAACTTGGTCAGAGACCGAAGGACCCGTGGTAGATCTCATGGAGGGTACCTGTGCACTGTAGAGGGTTTGGTGTTAGCGGCCCCATTAAGGAATGAGCGGAGTAAGCCGCTTGATGCGTCCTGGGATAGGCGAGTTCACACTTACAGTCCTTGGCTTTGAGACCCTCAGAGACATCCTTGGGAATGGTGGTGGGAGATACTAGGGGGCCGAATGGCTCCTCCACCGCGGGCACTTCCAGGGCCTCCTCCAGATCCTTGGCCACGTTGTATAGTGTTTTATCAGTGTTACCTGGGAGGGGAAGGGAGGCCAGAGATGTCCACTGTTTTCGGACCGCATTCAGGAACATGGGGGGACAAGGAATGCGGTGTTGAGCTGCCACCGGTTCAGTAAAGTTTGGGTCCACCTCCGAATCTGGGGAAACAGTGGTTGTTATTGAGGAAGAATCAGGCCCTAGATGGGCTGTGGATGTGGCCTTGCGGAATAAAGGGACAAAGAAGGAAGGGTTGAAGAGGCCACTAAATGAAGGGGCTTCGGGAGGAAGCTCCTCCTCCTCAGACATTGGAATCTCCTGTTCAATGTCATGTTCACGAAGGTATGAGCCCTCAGAGTAAGTGGACCCAGACGGGGAAGAAAGAGCATAATAGGTTTCAGGAATCGGTTGATGAATAGGAAGGTGAGCGACGGCCACTGGTCTAGGAGTTTGCGCTCTGGCCTCCAGAGCACGGTCTACTGCTTGCACAATCAGTAAGGCTAGACAGTCCTCTGTAGGGAGAACAAACTCACTTGGCCGAAGCCTGGCCGCAGTAAGAGTGAAGGTAGCCTCGGGGGTCCCATGGTGGGCCCGTGTAGCAGCAGATTGGGAAATGGAATGAGCTCGGTCTGTATCACATGGTGCAGGAGAAGGTAACGGTTCCCCTGTCAACCATATCCCCAGGGGAGAGGTGGGGGGCCCCAGGGGTAAGTCAAAAGGGGACCCTTCGGCTAGAGAGGTCTCT